TTCTTTCTTTCTTTCTTTCTTTCTTTCTTTCTTTCTTTCTTTCTTTCCTTCCTTCCTTCCTTCCTTCCTTCCTTCCTTCCTTCCTTCCTTCCTTCCTTCCTTCCTTCCTTCCTTCCTTCCTTCCTTCTTTTGTACACTGAGAGCTTATGCACCAAAGACAAATTTCTTGTGTGTCCAGTCACACTTGGCCAATAAAGAATTCTATTTCTATTCTATTCTCATGTTTTATTTATTTTATTTGTATAACATATAAAAATTCAATTTTAATCAAACAGTATGTATGTTGTCTGGGTACAATTGTTTTTAGGCAATCATACTCAAAGTGTTTACAATAGCATTCATCATAATAGCATTACTACTATAATAATATTTAGCTTATCTACTTTAACAAATCTCCATTTTAACATTTATCCTTTTTATGTTCCCATATTTCTAACTTCTGTTTTTATTATCTAAGCATTGGTAAAATAAATCCCATATCAAAAAATATTCAGTTTGTCCTTTGTCCTTAATATTCAGTTTGTCCTTTGTCTATCCATTTCTGCACATTCTAATATTTTCTTAATTACACTCTCATTTGTCGGGATCTCATTGCACTTCCACTGTTGTGCAAATACAATTCTGGCTGCAGTTTGTATATGTAAAATCAAATATATAGTCCCTTTATCATATTTTTTCAGCAGAATGTCCAATAAAAATATTTCTGGTTTCAAGTCTGTATGCTGCTTTATTATTTTTTCCAACCAAATATCTATTTTCATCCAATATTTTTTAGCTTTTGGGCATGTCCACCACATATGGTAATATGAATATTTGATTGCACTTCCAACATTTAGAGCAGGGGTCCCCAACCACCGGGCCGCGGACCGGTCCCGGTCCGTGGATCACTTTGTACCGGGCCGCAAAGAAAATAAAATTAAAAAAATGGCGGCTTTCTTCGCCTTCGGTGAATGCTGCTGGGATCAGGGATCAAGGACACAAATGAAAGAAGGGGAGGGAGGAAGCAACCAAAGCCTGTCCTGCTCTCTGGCTCAGCGGCTTCAGTTTCCTCCCGCCTCGTTCCTCTCTCAGTCGCTCTCTCGCTCCTCCACCAGCCCAGGAAGAAACTGCTTCAAAGAAGCCGGCAGGGTGGCTTTTCCTGTCGGCGCAGCTCCCCCGAAGCGGCCGTTCACCCCCACCCCGCCGCCAATCAATCCAGGTTCAATCCAGTGCTCCGTTCTGCCTGCCTGCCTGCCTTCGTTTGTTTCGGAGCAGCTTCGGCTGAGAATAATAACTATTCGCCTCTTTTACTCAGCCGAAGCTGCTCCCAAACAACCAGAAACGAAGGCAGGCAGGCAGGCAGGCAGAACGGAGCACTGGATTGAACCGCGCGCGGGCAGCGGGGTGGGGGTGAACGGGCGCTTCGGAGGAGCTGC